TCTCAAACTTGATATGACGTTGGTGGTGCTATGTTCGGCGATGTCATATCCTGATATGACGTTGGTGGTGTTATGTTCGGCGATGTCATATCTTTAGGGCTATCGCTAATTCCGGCCTAGCACTGGCACCTTAGTGCGGGTTTCTTACAGCTATATGTAAAACAGGTCTTATAATCTGTAAGAGGTGAAAAGTTTGATTGATTAATTGCTTGCTAAACGGATTATTTTATATAGAGTAAAAGCATTATATGAGATATATGATTGTCTCACAATTTAATCTTGATATAATCTTTACATCACATTGAGAACTTCTATTGCCTCACATTGAGAACTTTCATTGTCTTATATTGAGAACTTTCATTGCTTTATATTAAAAATTTTCATTATCTCATATTGAGAACTTCTGTTGCCTCATATTAAGATCTTTCATTGTCTCACATTGAGAACTTCTATTGCCTCATGTTGAAAACTTCCATTGCCTCACATTAAAAACTTTCAATATCTCATATTGAAAACTTTCATTTTGATTTGATATTATATCATGTCAATCAATCAAATTCAAATCACTTCTTTCTCTCATTCTGAATTCATCAGACAGTAAAAGAATTTTTTTAAAATGTTTAAATTTTTTAAAATAAACAACTATTATATCTTCATTCTGAAGAATGTATTGTTCATTATTGTAGAATATTCACGGAATCAACTTTTAAATTTTAGAGAATAATAGACTGAAATAATATGTTTGACATTGCTGCAGTAAATAGCAACAAGGGTCTCATAACTTGTAGAAGGATAATGTTGATTGTCATTATTAATTAATTACGCGAGAGCAACACAATATGTTGGGGGGCACGTGATAGAGTAGCCGTAGTACCCACTAACAAAATTGGACAACGAAGTATCTTCCAAGCAACACGCGTGAATACAAATACGAAGGAAAGGTAAAGGACATGGAAGGAATCATTCACTTTTGAGAAAGCTCCTTCACGGTATTCTCATGTGTCTCGCGAGCTGCATGTGAGCAACAACTTGGAAAGAATGGAGACATTGCGAAGTTTTTATTCAGCTATGATAAAATAAATCAAGTGCTTGTTTTACAGATGCCTTCCAGATCACATGAAGCAGCTTTCTAGAGAATGAGATTCCTTCGTCACTGGGGAAGCCGAAGAGTGGATCCAAGCCAATCCCTCGCTGATGCGCCTTCTCGAGAATCCTACCGAGGATAACTGTATTACCTTCTTGGAGGTATTCAGGGACGAGTTTCCTGAGAAGCGCACTGAGGATAAGGTGTCCTATGAGGCGGAGATGGCAAAGTTGCTGCAAGGAGAGAATGACTCGACCGAATCTTACCAGCCGGGTGTCAAGATCCTGAGATGGTTTGGTATCAAGGACCAGGTCGCAACCACCCCTATGATAGGTAAGAAACCCGAGATCTTTCTCCTCGAAGTTTTTATAGGGAAGTGGATCAGAGGACTCAGTAGGGCAAGAACTAGGACCAAACTTATTGAGGTTTCTGACGAGCTGCCTACTCTCACCTCTACGTATCGCAAGGTATTAAATATTGAAAAGGCAGAGCTTGAGCTCGAAAAGGACAAGCAGGCGAGGGGAAAGGGAAAGGAGATTGTCTGGCTTCGGAAGTGCGCTAGACTATAATGTAGGGGAGCTGGAGCGCTTGTTGGAAGCCATTTCTGGCCTTGTTGATCGCGCTGTACAAGGGGTCCAGAGAACTCGACGATACAGCGGCATGTATTGCCATAAAGGATATGCATCACAGGTTTATGTTTTGACCTTCTTTCTCCGAGCCTGGAATAGGACCTTCCTTCTGAACCCCAATCGTGGGCCACAGTACACCCCTCAGTATCATTTAGGGGGGGGCCTTAAGTCAGTTGCTTGAGGGGGACTCGTCCCTCAGCATTCTATCCGGTCCTCAGCAGGAGGATGGCACTCCGCTTCAAGCCACTGTTTGACGGGTTATTCAAAATCCAAATCGAAGTCTCTAAGCTCATTCTTGGTTTGCGCGGTCTCAATGCTTCTGGGACAATATCTAGATTCCCATTGCTGTACGGTCAAGCCGACCAGCTGATTACATTCCTTGTTGTCTGGTTTAGATGCTTTTTGCCCCTCCCAGGACAGGAGGCCACAGATGGTACCAAGGATTAGAAGGCCAGAGCTGTTATAGAGTGATGAAGATTCTTTCTCCTTGTAGTTGTTGTTGTTGTCTTCTTTGTCGTTATTTGAGACCCCCTTCCATAATGCTCATTTTTAGCACCTGACATCACGTCTCGCTTAAGCGCGTTCATTCACTTATCTACTCCCTATATTCTTCCTTTCTTTACTTTCCTTCTTTCTTTCCTTCTTTCTTTCCTTCTTTCCTTCCTTCATCCTCCCGTCATCCTCCCTCCTCATTTCCCCCTATTAATCCTTACACTCAGCAGATCCTTGCGGTCTACGGAGCTTTAGGCTTACGTAAAGACTCTACCGTTCTTGTTTCTTAAGTTATCTCGGCCTTTGGTGACCTTATTACATAAAGATTGGCAAGAATGAACACCAACTCCTCCCATCTGAGAAATCTTCATTCTGGTGATGTTGAAATATTTCAGGGGAAAAAGGCCCAGACATGTCCTGGCTGCCAATCAGATTACCTGAAGGAAGATATTGCCAATGGCCTACTTTTGTGTGTTGGAAGTGGGGTTCCCAGAGTCTCAAGCTCAGCTTGAATGGGATGCAAGTTGGTGGCTGGAAGCATCCAGGGGAGACGTTGGGGTGGTCATTACAATAGGTATCGAGAGGACCAAAGACAAACTTCCCCTTGGAAGATGGGAAATGGGAGAATCGTCGAGACCAACAGGACAAAACTTATACAAGGGAAGCGTTCCCCAACTGATCGAAAATGCCTGCGTTCAATCAACCTCGGAGGTTGATGGTGCCATCACTATTCCATTTGAAAAAATCTTCCTGCGGAGTCCCACGTCTCAAGAGTCGGATTTGGTTTCAACTCAAGAGGACCTACGGCAGCTAACGACATTTGTGTGGACTGTCCCAGAATATACAGAAACAGGCTAGTAAATTACATATGTACTGTACGTGGGCAATAGTAAGTTGTTAGGCCTGACGAGTGAGGTTTTCCTTTGCGGTCCAGCTCAAGTGGGCTATCTTTATTTATATTAAGTAATACTGTATAGGGACCTCCAGGTGGACATTTCGGCTATATCGAAATTAGTCGGTGGGGAGGGGTGGAAAGGGTCGGAGTGCGCGCGCTTCTGGCGGAAATATTCAAAGATTGCATGCCACCTTTCATCCCATCCTCTCGCCGGTCTGCTGTGAAACATCTATCCCGAAATATCGCAGGCTATGAAGGAAGAAGAACCCATCCCCTGGTATACTTCATTGTTCGGCGCATTTACTCCCTGGTTCATGCATAAGAAATCCGGAAACACGTCAAAGGAACATAAACAGAACCCAAGGAAACATATACAAATCAAGTATATATACCCACTGAAAGTGGGTAATTGTGATTATTTTTATCAATGGCTATTTTTATCAAGAAAAAGGATATCGTCTCCACCCATCTACTTATAGGGCAGCAACCATCGCAAGGGCCGCAGCGGCACCGCCAATCGCCCAATTGACGTTCCCAGTGGCCTTTGGCGCAGCATTCGGCGGTACATTGGCAAGTTTCTCGATACCGGCCGTGGCCGTGATAGTGGCGAATGCGGTCGCAATTTGCGATCCAATCAATTTAATGGAAGTCTCGTCTTTTTTCTTACCAGATTCCACTTTCAATATGCAATCTGCTACTGTGGTGCCACTCAGGGAGCAAGCGGCGTCCATGAATCTAGAATGAAAGTGAGCAGGTATGCAATAGATAGTAAGGTGTTATAGTTCATTATTGGTTGGTATAAAATGGAATTCTCACCCCGCCCTCTCTCCTCAAGCGGGGTTTCTTGTTTGAGGAACGAGGATGCTTAAATCAGAAGCAAGAGAAGAAGGAGACGGGAAACTCACATTCCGGACATCGAGATAGACTGCGAGAAAGTCTTGGGGCCCTGTATGATTGTAACGGTTTCAAAGCCCGAAACTGGTTCACAACTGCCGTCTGCGAGAATTGGCAAGCAGTCGACATCTATGCCGAATGTAATAGCATCGTTGCGCTGAGGAATGAGGAGGCGTATGATCAGTTTGCTTTCATTTTAGATGCCGCCTTTGCCCCATATAGATTGAAAATGGCCATGGCGGAGCGTGAGAATGAATACATGGTACAGGTGACATATACGTACGACGCCAATAATGGATGCTTCGCTGGGTACAGGAGTTGCGGCGGGGACAATGAGTTGGAAGACAGTGATAGGGCCAGCCGTGGTAGTCGCTGGAGACGCAGCCGTTGTAGATGATTGCGCCATGCCCAATGCTGCTAGTGAAAGCGTGCAGAATATTGATTTCATCATCATGGCTGTATGGTAACTATATATCGTCTGTTGCTTGTTTTCTCTTTTGCTGATTTGAGGGTGCGACTCGTTCACACAGTAGAACCGAACAGAAGAACAAGGTGTAAATCCGTATGAAAATAGCTATAATCACCAGTCGGGCGGACAATGCAGGAGAGAAATAGACGCGGCGAAAGGGAGGAAGGAGATTGACTGAACAGTGGAAGACACACAGGCAAGCATCCACTTTTATATGTCCATCCGGCGTCACAGACACAAGCCTCCCGCTGATTTTAAAATTTCTTCGCCGGCCTGCTGTTGGCCCTGAGTCTTATTGCCATGCATTATGATGGCTGGGTCTCACACAACGAAATACCCAAGACTCACGTTGCCAAAACAAGTTTAAACTGCTCTGCCAATGGGGTATTCGACAACCCTTGTACAGTACATAGATATCACTTAGAGTTTCGGTGCCATTTTCTCGGGCAGATTGAGCTAAGTCACCGAACCACCAAGTGTTGCAGCCCTGAATTCGTTAGGATGGCCCGTAGCAAAGCCCGAGAAGCAACGTCACTTAAAAATTGATAAGCTATCCAAGACTAGCCCCGCGATAGGAAGACAGAGTGTCGGCGGGAACCCCTGAAGCTGATCGAGGTCGGTGCTGGATGGACCCTGTCCACCGTGTAACGGTGTTTGGAGTCCGTCCATGTTTGCCTCTCTGCTCAAGGGCTTCAATTTAATGCAACTCGCATACCACACAACCTGCCGCCCCGCCCAAATGAGTCCTTGTTCGCCACTCCAGCTGCTCTGGATAGAACGCCATCTGCCCGCCTGAGGTTATTTTTATTTACCTGCCGCATAGGAATGAACAACCGGGCTACGGCGTCACAATAAACCCACCTGGTTTCTTCCAATGACGCTGAAGGGATGTACTGTACATGTACATGGGTGTAAATCTGATGCCAGCAGCGAAGCCTAGCCGAAATCGAGAAGTGAAAACGTTCCGCAATAGGACTCACTCCATACTACCTACTCCTCTACGTTGGATAGTTTCTATTTTCCAAAAAAGCATCCACATTCACCATGAAAAATATTTCTACGCAAAACAACCGAGACTGAATTGAATGTTCTAGAGAAAGACAGTGAGCAGGATATTAAAGATGATCAAGGCCTCTCTAGATGTAAGTCTTGTGCTTTGTCTTTGAGGTGCAGCCTTTACCAGCTCTATATATTGCTAGCCCCGGAAAAATAAGGCGTGATTTGCGGTATATATAAATTTGGCCGAATACTACCCTTACCCTCTTCAGGGTCTAAACCGGGGGGGGGGCCTGTTCTTCTTCAGCGCTTGTACCTAGAAGGTCCAAAATTAGCATCTTGTCCTTCATCTGGGTCTCGGCGACGAGCCCGTAAGCAACCAGGTAGAGGAACATGTAGGCGGACTACGACGCCAATGTTTTTTGCTTCCACCCTGTGAGAGGCGGTGCAGTCGATATCCATGTTGTCGTTGAGAAAATGTTGTCCAGGGACAGACCAGCGGTGGAGCAAACATGATTGCTAGGCCCAAGATCCGCATGTCCAGGGCCTGATTGGATGTGTGTGTAGTTAGCGTAAGGGGAGTCGCGGTAGTTAGCGCGAGCTCTTTGATCAGCAGAGAGACTCAGTGCCCATGGCAGATACGGTCGATGCAGGCCGCTTGATCAACGAGTCCATACCAGTGTCGTATCTCGTATCGGTCTCTACTTTTCCAACTCCTCCGGGTTCGCAGCCTTTCAAGGAAACACTGAGTTAAGAGTAGAATACGTTCCATCCAACCATTATCGCAAATCCCGTTGAAATGAAAACGGTGACAGTCTCTTTCTAATGAAATAGGAGAAATAGGCACAGGATAAGGAAGAGAGCGGGGGAAATGACATTCTAAATTCGCATTGTAATGTGCTCGTGTCAATCAATTTAGAACTGGCACAAATAAAGAGCCGGGGAGGAAAATAAAATATAAAAAAAGGGCAACAGACCAGGCCGGGACATACACCATATATAATATAAACCGTAACATCTTCGCACAGCGAATGATAAAGAAAAGAAGAACCGCACCGGAGACCCCACCGTAATGAGAAAAAGCCTGGTGGCCATAAAGGGGGGGGGGGGAAGGAAATAAAACAAGAGAAACGAAGGTTTGGGGTCGTTCAGAGAACATGAGAAAGAATTCGAACCTTTTGCAGGGGAAAAAGACAAACCAAAAACGCCACTTTTATTATTTCCCATTCCCCTTCCATGATGTATATAAATCAAATCCTTATCCTTGATAATGGACTGCACTGACCTGACAAAAAGAAATGCCCATAGCTAGCATGAAGCACAAGATGACATGAGCAACGACACAAGCTGAAAACAAATAAAGTAAATGGAACAAAACGAAATAAGACAAAAGTAATACATTGATGGAAAATGGAAGCGAGATGACCCGACGATTGGTAACAATAAATGAAAATGAAAAGAAAAGAAAATACCCCGAAAAGAAACATTGTTACAAGAAAAAGCCAAAGCCCATGGAAAAGGCAAAAAAAAATAGCACCAGATAAAAGAAAATAAATAACCAAATGACAAAATCCAAATCAAAAATGCAAGCCTTAGCTCAAAGCCATACATATACCCTTCTCAAAACATACCCCATGATTGCCTATGATATGAACAAGCATATCAGGGGGGGAAAAAGGAAAGATGAAAAGATAAAGTCGGGTTATCGCTCCGGTGCATTCCTATTACCACCACTCTCACCATCATTTTCATTCCCATTCCTCGCAGGAACATCGGTAACCCCCCTTCCCAAATTCCGCGACAACCCTACAGCGGCCCACCACTCGTCATCAATATCTTGCCTGCGTGTTAGCTGGTCGATGATTGTTTGGACCTGTTGGAGGTCTTCCATGGAGCTGCTCTGACCGAAGGAGATGTTGATGGATGTGGGTGTAGAGGTGGATGTTGGGGACGTTGGGGATGTTGATGATGAGGGGTGGGAGGCCGTGTTTGTGTTGCGGTTTGTATTGCGGTTTGCGGATGCCTCTGCGATTACTGATCGGATGGTCCGGGTCATTCCGAGTAGATTTTCTTCTCGTTGTCGCCGTAGCTGTTGCTGCTGCTGTTGGTATTGGATGGTATCTTCGAGTGCTGCCATTGATGCTGATAAACGGGTGGGATTTGGACGGTTGCTACGCCCCAAGAGTCGCCAGGCGGGTTCGTGCTCCATGTCCGATTCCGGTTCCGTATCAGAGCCTTCGGACGATGAGAAGAAATCGCAATGATTGGTGTGGTCTGTGAATGGTTCAAGGGGAGCTAGGACGTCCAGTCGAGATTGGATATTGTTGGAGTCCAAAGAGGAAGGGAGAGTTAATTGTGACGAATTAGCTGAGCTGCGGGACGGGGCCGTGGAGGCAGATGCGGTGGCGGAGGTGAAAGAGGAGTCGAGGGTTGGGAGCTGATCATCTGGTGTGATGGTGGTAAACAGAGATTCCCACATGTTAGGTTCGTCATCGCCATCATCACCATCATCATCATCATCAGGATCGTTGTTGTCGTGGTCGTCGTGATGGCTTTCGCCGCTAGGGCTAAAGCTACGATCGCGATCGCCAAGTCCATCGATGATGTGACGGTGGCGAGTGGCATCTCCATTGTTTGTTTCTGCGATGGAGCGAAGGCCGACTCTTCGCAACAATGGCATGTTAGAATCGTAACTATCTGACGATGGCAACGCACGCTCATTACTATGTGATGGGTAAGCTGGTGCAAATCTAGGACTGTATGAGGCCATATCTGCAAGACGGTTGTCCACGCGGGAATCGACGGTCGTATTACTGCTCGACTCCGACCTGTGGGGTGGTTCGTCTGAAGGAGGCCACGAAGGCGGCTGGAGCATCTCGATCCTCAAGGAGGACTCTCGTGGGATCCTGATGCGACGACTGGGGGAAGAATAGCGAATGGCACTTGTTCGGGCCAACCGGTCGACTAGATCTCGCCTTGTTTGGGGTGAGTATGAGCTGGAAGCAGGCCAGTCCAGGCGAGACTCGTTATCCTGGGAGGCATAACGTGAGGTACCTGGCTCGTTGGTGGTTGTATTTGTACTTCTTGTCGGAGCGCCAGAAGCAGTAGTACCGTCCCCAATCATTTGGCGACCAAGGTTCTCTACCCAATGAGGCATTGAGGAGCGGAAAGGCACATAGCCAGGCCGATTTGAAGAAGCACTGTTTGATCCATTATTGTTCCTGTGAGAACGGCGGACTGTCCGTTGGCGCCGAATAGCGGAGCGGGAGGGTGCTAGCGGGTCGCGTTTAGCATGGGCATCGCTGGCAGCGGGGGAACGACCAGGCGGCTCCCAGTGGAGCCTAAACAATAGAGCACATCGGCAAGTCAGTATATAGTGAAATAATGAAATATTACAATTGTATATTTCTCGAGTTGCTGGGTGATGAAGAGGAGCGATGGACGGTTTTACGCAGCGCGTCGCACCGACTGGGCGGCTAGAGACAACACATTCCATGCAAAACAAGACCTCGGGAGGCGAACGAAGTCACGAGTTAGCCCGCGACGTGCAAGACACCGAAAAAAACTTACGGGATTCCCATTTTTGCACGGCAACAGAGGAGGCAATAAACGCCAGGTAGAAAATGGATGCCGGTCAGTGAGCGACCCCGATAGAGGAGGACTGAGGTACAGAAGAGTGGAGGTGGTGGTGATGGTGTTGGTGAGGAGAGAAGCGGAAGAGGAGAAGAGGAGTTGATGAGGAATGAAGGTGGTTGGTGTTTGCGGCGTTGGCTGTGGGTAACGAAGTGGTACAGGCGGAATACGGTATTTAACGGTGCGCCGAGTGGGAATAAAGTTGGTGGTGCAATCGGCGGTAGTTTCTGCAGGGCTAGGGACAACGATGGGAATTTGGGGAGTATATTACGGGACGTGGTTGTACGCAGCCTGTATTGGTAACTGGGGATTGTGAAAATCCGAGCGGGTTATTGCCAGATTAGGATTAGCGAGTTCACCGTATCCAAAGATACAAGTCACGTGTGTAAGAGATTCAGACAGCAATTTTCTAGTCTCATAATTGACACTAGCCCAATACGGATTATGCCGCCTTCTGCCGCCTGTACCAATCATTAAGGTTTGTCTATCCAGATGTATTGTACGGAGTGACTCTGGGTGACGCCTAATTTGATTGCACTGGTGGTGGCCTTGGGTACATTTTATGTGGCCCTTCATTCTGAAGGGCTCGCTGCTTTTACTGGGTGTTCAGCCACCGAGTGGCTGCTTTTACTAAATTTACTGATACCAGCGCTTCTATACCACTATGCCCCCCGAGTGCGTATCCCAGATGGGATATACATGAATTTCTTTTCTCTCATCCCCATACAAAACTGTGTTCTTCTATTCTATTTAACACCAAAATCCGAGCCTTATCAAGATGAATAAACCTCAAATCCAAAAATGCAAGGGCCATTATATGAAGATCGTCCACAGTCCACCCTAAGATGTCAAGCCAGATCTTGAGAATTCAACAAAAGTTAGCATGTGGTGGGTGGGAAACTGCTATAAAAGATAAGTTTTACATAGCTCTCTTGTCCTTCTAATTGTTTACTTATTCCTTTAGATTCATTGAGGAGGAGCTTGATCCACTCATTTCACATTATTGAATGAAGAATTTGACAATGAATGTTGTTGAAACCTTTCTACATTAATATTTTGATGAGTATAATGTGAAATCTTTATCAAATTTCCTTGTGCTGATTTGCTTTTGAAGGATATATTATTGTTATGAGATGAATGAAGACTTTTTTTATAATATAAAGCATAAAATAAAAAAGTATATCTATTTATATTATGAATTCAATAATCATAGATCACTATTTCTGTAGCTCATCTGTATTATAATCAAAATTGAATACAGTTTATATAAGCTAGTTAAGTCTCAGCCATTTTACAATGCAGATTTTCTTTTTTATCTTTTACATCATACTGCAGCGCTATCTGTAGTATTCTTTTCAATACAAAGATAAAAAAATCAGTATGAAATAATAAAAAAAATAATGACAGCAACAGCTGCATATTTAGAAACTTTTCTTGAAAGCTTATAATATTGCAGAATAAATGATGCTCTGCACTGAAAAGATATTGAACTTTTCATAATTATAGACTCTAAATATTCATTTTATCAGATTTTTATGAGACATATCAATTCAATAAAAATAAGCAGAATAAAAGCAAGTTGTAAATTCTATTGCTGACTCATTTTCTGAATTTAAAACTGATCTTTTATCTTCAATTCAATTTTTATATATACTGAATAAAATGATAACCTAGCATTCTATGTCATTTTAGAATATAATAGAGTTTGCATTTATGAATCAGATTTTCAACAGTGAATATATCAAAAAATCTTTAGATATCTGACATCATATCAAAATATCAGCACACAGAAAAAGCACACTGATTCATTTTAAAACTTTCATAAAAAACATATTTGTGTTCTGATTTAAAGTCTGTGACATACATAGAAACTGAACTACTCATTCAACAAGAGCTCTGACAGTAGTTCAATTTGAAGAGAATGAGAAGAAGTTATATATAGATGTGAGTCTTGAGAATCTGAGTTCAGCATACAAATACAGAAAGGGAGCTGAGGTGCATTTTGATGATTGATTCACCTTAGTAGTTAGAGGATATGTATAGTTTCTGACATGTGCTGCTATGCAGGGAATACAACCGAACATCGGAGAAATCATATAATAGATCATGCAGAAAGTCATATCTTCCAAAAATATGTCAATCAATGTGTGAATATGGATACACAGTTAGTGATTCTTGAAACAGTAGTTAAAGATGTTTTGATTAAACTCTTCTACTATTCAGATCTTATCTGTGACCCCTCTGCTTCAAAACATGTAAATAATGATCAGAAAAAAACATTTGAGAAAGATATGAAGCTAGGGGAATTAAAGCACAAACACTGATATCTTTAAAATGATCTCATTGCACAGTACGGACAGTTAAAGAATGCATGAGACACAGAAGTTTGCAGGTACCATAGACTAAGCCAGCAAATTCGATCCAGACAGAAGAAATTATAAAAGAAAGTCTTTAAAAAGACATACCATGACTTCTTTGAAAATGTCGGCAACGATATCATTGAGAAAAATTATCACGGCCAGGATACTAGCTTTGTTGTTCCAGATACATCTCTGGTCCTTCCAGAATAGAAGGAATTAGCTGACCTCGACTTTCAAAACCGGGATGCAAGCACTGTCTCTGAGTTGCAGTTACTCGAGGATTGTATTCAATCCCTGGAACTTCATCTTGCTCTCCATCACCTCCACATGCCCAAGCACCGGCGTCCAAGATCGTCCCTACAGAGCTGGCACGGGATAAGCCCTTCCCAGCCAACTTTCCAACCCAGAGCCCGACAGGTTTGCAGTGCCCTAACTATGACGGGTTAGCACCCGTTAGTGGTTAACTTACGCAACCAACCCCTTCTGCCTCACACTCCGCGCCCGCGTAGTTCCTCACGCTCCGCGCTCGTGTAGTTCTAACAATTCTTCTGTGTAACCCTCAATGTTCTTCCATTCTGTGCTCCACTGCAGAGTGCATCCATTCACATCCTTACAACTACCCACGAACGTAGGGGTACATTTGAATTTTCCACTTTTCCAACTGTTTTTCATATAATTTTAACCCCCCAACCCGTTCAATATCATCGCACGCCCTCTGCGATTTCTCTACGTGTGTGTACTGCACAGGTTGAGTGGTCATGGAGCCCTCAACGCCCTCCC